CTCCTCCCACATTGAACATCGCAGAAACTCAGTTCGAACATCAAAACATTCAGCTCGGTCGGGAATCAATCGCTATTACTTTTATCATTCATAACTTTCATAATTCCAGACATACATCCCATAATACACATTTTTAACATGGAAGTCAATGGAGTCTTCAGACTTCAACAATCTTCATGCAACTTCAACTGCTAACTGCTCCTTCTTCAACTGCTAACTGCTCCTTCATACTTTCACTCAGAAACCTCATTCCAACTTTAAAATGTTACACATCTTTCTGACATTATTCGTGTAACACAACTTTTAAATCTCATTCTTACTTTTAGAGATATTAAACATTGTTCAGACCTTGGTAAAGAGGCCTTCTTCAGATTTTAGAGTACGTGATGTCACAGCTAGAGTGGAGGACAGATTTAATTTTGCCTTCATATTTTCCTTTAAACCTGCCATAATTCCCAAACCCTACATTCCTGAGACATCATTTTTCATGACAAACGTAGGAAAACATCTCGTAGCTTAAAAAAAAAAAAAAAAGCAAAATAATTAAACAAAATGCCTCTTGAGGGCATGATGGAACCAGTGATCATTTTGGGGTGGCATTGAAATCACTATTATATGAACATAAAAATACATCTCACTAGAAAATAAGGGGTTATTTAAGGCACCTACAACACTCAATACATTATTTGGGATTAAGTGGGGGAATAGATCAAATAATATTCAATATATCTAACTATTTGTTTCGTATTCCCGCAGGTAAAGTATCAACGAAGCTTACATTATACAAATGTAATGCAATATACAGACTGTTTAGCTTATGGTGATCAGCAGCCCTATGAGCTTATTCTCTCAGTGTATCATCAGGAATACAGAGACACACACATCATGAGTTTTTTAATTAAATGATTGGTTAAGTAAACAATAGCCCTTAACCCTGTAAGGCCCCCAGTTGTAATTTTACATCAAAATACTTTAAGCTATCCTAAAAAAGTCAGTAAATGTTTTGTTTTTTTAAAAGACTACATTTACATAGTCAAAAGGTCCTTTTGTTCAGCCTCACAATGCTATTGGGTAGTGAATGTGTTTAAAGGTCCTGCCCTCTGGAACATACACTCACACAACCAGGGGCGCCGCCAGGGATTTTGGGCCCCTTGAAAATATATCACATTGGGCCCCACCACCAGACACAGGCCACGCCAACCAAGCACAATTGCTGTAACCACACCTCCAGAACCCAACCGACTCATTTATGCTTTAAATAACTCTACCTGTACAGGCTTGCATCTATCTTGTAGTCCAATACTAAGTAAGCGCACAATATTTACTGACACTGAGCTGTGAAAATATAACACTGTGCAGACGTGCAACATTCTGCTGCAGTAGAATCCACTATTTGATATAAGACTAACATTCCTGACAATAGATCTCAATAGTCATCTTTTATGGTATAAACGCCTTTTTAATAATAACGTTTTGGAATGGAACATTCTCAACATGAATGCATAAATCCAAATAAATATAACTTAAATATGTGGGAAAATATTGTTTGAAATGTGTAATTGAAATTAGATGTTAGCTTTTTGTTTTGATAACAGACACATTTCCACCACTCATGGAACACACCCACCTTTTCTTTTGAAAAACTAGGTGACATACTGTCACCCTTTAGTCCCTCTCTCTTGTCTTTCTCTCCTTTCTTTTCTCTTTTGAAAGCCTGACTTTGTAAGTCGTTGAGACATGGTATACTACACACGTAAGCACTAGCATCCCTGCTCCTAACATGCTCTCAGTCTCTGCTGGAAAGTGCCGGCGGTGCCCTACCGCGATTGGAGGCAGGACCAAACCATTACATGTAAATAGAAGGGGGTGTACAGAGGCTTTGGATCATTAACTTTTGGAAGAAAATAAGTGAAATGAATTGTAAGTTTAGTGAGTACATTATCAATATAACGTTATATTAATGTAAATTATTGATGAATGATGAAAGGTTACTTAAACATTTTTTTATTAATGTTCTAAAATAGTTTGGGCCCCCATGGTGAGGGTGTTTGGGGTGGCCAATAGGGTGGCCAGGATTCAGCTGGGGGTGGCCACGGTCACTCCCAGCCACCTCCCAGCTCCGCTGCAGGGCATGAAGTGACAAAAACGTTCAACATGTCTCCATTAAAACCCATTGTAAGTTCAGCCTCACCTTTCCCCACCACAGCAGCCACACACCTTTAGTTAATCTGCCAAAAAGGCCACATTATTAACCCGAAAGTACACAAAAAGTACACTTCAGATGCTCAAGTTCCTTGACATGCTTCACGCTTTGAAATTTCACCGATATCTGTTATAGTTCTTCAACAAAACGTTCACATGTAACAGGTTTATCTCTCATTCAGAACAATGAAAATGCTCACTGATCACCATGGAAACCTTTGATCTCTGGACACGTCGTTAGCTCAAATATAAACACCTGTGTCATGGAACACGGTGATGTCATAACTCTAATTGACATAATTAGAGCAGCAGACTAATGACGTGGTCACTGGAGTTTAACAGACTGTCTCAGCCTATTCTTTTCTGTCTGATGGAGACTTCATACTGACTTCAACATGTTCCACATATTTTAGACATTATTGGTGACGTATGCTTTTAGTTCTAAAGTTTTCAGTTCAAATATTCTGCTGCTTTTTCATGCATTTAGACTTTTATTTTCTTGTTCTTATTTCACATTCAAGTCCCCTCTATTCATGAACCCTTTAAAACCAGCGATGCACTACTACAGTGTCAGCTTTTCTAAAATAGAAACTTCAATGTTCACATTTTTCTAAATGATTCTACTTTTCAATGACCTACAAATAATCCTAATAATAATCCCATTTTCAATTTTTCAACTGTTCATATTTTTTGGTCAATTAACAAACCTGTTACAAATGTGTTGTTCAACAAATTTGAGCCTGTGCCACATTTATTTGATCACCATGGAAACCTTTGATCTATGGACACCTCGTTAGCTCAAATATAAACACCTGTGTCATGGAACACGATGATGTCATAAGGCAAGGCAAGTTTATTTATATAGCACTTTTCAACACAAGGCAATTCAAAGTGCTTTACAAAAAATGAAAGACATTAAGAAAATGGCATTTAAAATCAGTCATTAAAAAGAAAAGCTAATAAAATAAACATTAAAAGAAAAAATACATGGATAAAAGTTACAGTGCAGTCTAAGATATGAATAGTTCAATTAAACATTAAAAGAAAAAGTACATGGATAAAAGTTACAGTGCAGTCTAAGATATGAATAGTTCAATTAAAAGCAGCGACAAAAAGAAAAGTCTTCAGCCTGGATTTAAAAGTAGTCAGAGTTGCAGAGGACCTGCAGGTTTCTGGGAGTTTGTTCCAGATATTTGGAGCATAATAACTGAACGCTGCTTTACCATGTTTAGTTCTGACTCTGGGGACAGAAAGCTGACCAGTCCCTGAAGACCTGAGAGATCTGGATGGTTCATAATTTAGCAGGAGGTCAGAAATGTATTTTGGGCCTAAACCATTCAGTGCTTTATAAACCAGCAGCAGTATTTTGAAATCTATTCTTTGACACACAGGAAGCCAGTGTAAAGACTTCAGAACAGGAGTGATGTGATCCACTTTCTTAGTGTTAGTGAGGACTCGAGCAGCAGCGTTCTGAATCAGCTGCAGCTTCCTAATAGACTTTTTAGTGAGACCTGTGAAGACACCATTGCAGTAGTCGAGTCTACTGAAGATAAAAGCATGGACAAGTTTAACTCCAGTCAAAGTCATAACTCCAACTGACATGCTCAGAGCAGCAGACTTCAGATAATGGTTAATGGTCTTTCCCTCAACAGCTCTACGTCAATTATGGGGTGTCATCATATGCCGTTTCCATGGAAACGCATCCCTCGCCATAAAACACAATGTTGCTGTAACTCCAATGAACACGGTCCGATCGTCCCCCAAACTTCGCTTGTATATCACCGGTCCATGCCTCAACAGCTTTCCGCCAAATATGAGATCTCACCATAGGCTGTTGCCATGGAAACGCATCCCTCGCTAAAAAACATGATGTCACTGTAGCTCCAATGGACACGGTCCGGTCGTCCCACAATCTTCACCTGTATTTCACCTCTCCATGCTTCAACAGCTCTAAGTCAAATCTGACATCTCACCATATGCCGTTTCCATGGAAACGCTTCCCTCGCCATAAAACACGATGTCTTAACGCCTATGAAAAGGGTCAAAACATCACCACACTTCAGATAATGGTTAACGGTCAAGCCCTCAACTGCTCAAACTTCACATGTGTGCTAACAGTCCAGCCGTGAAGACATCTACGGGACAGTTTTGAGATTTCGTCAAATGCCGTTGCCATAGCAACACAATGCTCGCCATGAAACACGGTTTTCTCATAACTTCAGTGAAAATGCTCCAAACGGCCCAAAACTTCACAGGTTTGGTAACGATGCAGCCATCAACGCATCTAAGCGTATTATGGGATGTCATCAAATGCCGTTGGCATGGCGACAGATCATTCACCATCAAGTTAGTTCAAAAGTTTGCAGTTCAAACATTCTGCTGCTTTTCCAAGCCTTTTTACTTTCTTTTCTTCTCTCATCACACATTCAAGCCCCCAGTGTTCACGTATCATTTCAATCTAAATTCTTCACTTTCTTCTTACACATTACATTTCAGCATAGCAGTTTAGTTTTGGCTTTTCAGCATAAAGCATTCCCACTAGCAATTTCTTCAGGAATTGCATTCTCTAGTTATGTATAAAAGACATCAAAAAGTGCATTTTGCATGATAGGTCCCCTTTAAGATTTAAAAATCAACAGTCAAGTACAGGAACACATTTAAAAAAAACACTCTGAATAATGCATCAAACACATTCACTAACACATTATGGGTAATCTATACCAAAGCAGAAAAATGCATAGCAATAAAAAAAACGGTACCATATTCCTACAGTACATGTGCGTCATGCACACACTCACCTGGAGCGGCTGACATCATAGCGGCTGAGCCAGTGTTGCAGCATCTCCTCACAGGTCTGCAAGGCTACAGCCGGGCCAAACAGGGCCTCTTGAAGCTTCGCCTTGGTGAACAGCAGGCTGGAGAGGAGAACACACACACACACACACACACACACACACACACACACACACACACACACACACACACACACACACACACACACACACACACACACACACACACACACACACACACACACACACACACACACACACACACACACACACACACACACACACACACACACACACACACACACACACACACACACACACACACACACACACACACAACAATACTTATCAGTCTTTTCTTATGCTGCATTTTCACACTTCACATTTTGTACATTATTTTTTGAGTTTTGCTTCTATAACATCTTCTCTCAGACTATTGGAAAGAAACATTCACAATACACATTTAGATGTTAAATGTACTAACTGTGTTCATTTGAAGATTTCACAGAAATAGTAAGCATTAGATAATGCTTCATATACACTAAGCTCTTCTTGCCAAATGTTTTTACAGAGGACATTTTTAATAATTTAATCACTCAAAGCCTGAATTATAGAACATTTTATACCAAAAAACATTGCTTAATTGTTTTTTTCACAGTATTTTCAGATGTATGTGGTTAAACCAATATATATTTAAAAGATCTTAGTAAAAAGGTGATGGCAAGGAAATGAAAATAAGAATTTTGAAACTGGCTTCATACGTTGCAAATGAGCACACATTTAATAGGACAATTCTTAACTTGCATATTATTGACCCTATTCACCTCTAGTTTCTTTCCTTAAAGTGTACAAAAAACACAAGTTGCTGTTTTTGTACCCGTATGGTTAAACTATGTACTCAGTAGCCTGGAAGATTGTTTATGTTGGCCAAACCCAATCAAACCTGTTCTTATTATCACTGATCACATGAGTGTGGACACACAACATGATTTTCCCTGAAAAGAAGATTAATTGTTTTGTAAGTTCACAAAGACCTTCCAACATTTGTCAGTGTCTGCTACTGAAAACACAGCATTTAACCTGCAAACTAGCTGATATTATCCCCATGCAGCTGACAGTTGGTGATTTGGTTATAAAAATAAAGAATTGTTTCTACGGTAGCCGGTTAAGTGCTTAGGACCCATCACCATCTCACTGATGCATGAGGCACACGTAGATCAATACAAGCAGAGAGAGGTAAAGATAGTCATCAACAACAAGCTCTGAGAGTTTGTACGTGTATGTTGCAGCGTGTTGAGAGGTTGATGAGTAGAGGCCATTGAGTGTTTCCGCTCGGCCCATTTAGTTGAAGACAACTGGTTAAGTGATGTGGGAGTCTCTGATGTGTGTATGTATGTGTGTAGTAATTGCCAGAAGGGGCTCTCAGAGGATGCAGTCTGTCATGGGCATCACTCATCCATGAGTATGAGGAGAAAGGGAGTGAGGGGGAGAGACTGTGGTGTAAGCCACATCTGACGCCCGCCTGCCCCTCTGTCCACTGCCTCCATGTTCTAAAACACTCCACTGTCCAGGGGGAAAACAGTTGCGCGGGAATGAGTCCTAAAACCAGGAATTGAGTAAGCATTTAACCATTTCCAGTTCTCTTGTCCCAAAGTCTTTCTTTCTCTATCAGGATCCCCATTAGTCAAACTAATTTGTAATGCTTACAGTAGATGCCTGAAATAAGATCTGCGTTTAACACAAGCTTGAGAGAAGCTCAGTTTCTTTCTTCAAAATAAAAATAAAATACGTAAATACCGCACTAGCCAATGTGTCTTAAAAGCGGCGGTTGCTAGCAAGTGACTAAAAAAGTCTATTAAATGTCAAACATTAGCCGCCTTTAGCTTAGCGGTGGTGACCCTAACATTTTACTTCTGGCAGTTGCATTTATACTTCAAAAATCTTAAGAGTGGTGTGAATAGGTGGAGATCATCCTGCTGAACATATATTTGTTCTGAAATATTGCAAAATACAAGGGAAAAATCATGTAGTTTTTTGATGTGGGACCCCTTAAGATGCTAATGCTAACTTCTGGGTCGGCCTACAAAAATATGTAATCACTGCAAGGAGAGAAGCAGAGAGGGAAAGAGGAAAACATTTAATGGAGGGAGGGTCGGATCGATAGCAGAGAGACAAGCTTGTGTCAGGGGAAAAAAACTCTCCAAGAAATTAACCTCGTTACCAACTCACAGAGGTGTGTGTGTGGGGGTGTAAAAAGAACATGTAGAGATGTTAGAAAATACAAAAATGAAAGTGTGTGTTGAAGGAAGGCATGCAGTTCGGATGACAAGTGCTGTCCAGGGAAATTGTGTTAAGGATACGCCTGCCAGTAAAGGTCCACCAGAGTGTGTGATTGTGTGTGTCTCCAGGCTACCCATTACCAGTGTGGAAAAGCATTCAGATGCATAGTGATGGTATAAACCCATTCTTGTATAGAAATGTGACAAGGTGTATGTGTGTGGGAGTGTAAAATGCGTACAGGACTGACTTCTCTTACTGTGTATCCTGGGTATAACACGTTTAGAACCATCTAAAATAGTTAATTTTAAGAGAGTAAAAGCTATAAAAGCTATTGAAATAATGGTAAAATCTAAAAAAAAGTTAATATTTGTCTTTTTAACACAAATTCTGGTTTCATTCTCAAACTACAATGGCATTCGGAGAGTGCAGACCAAAGTCAAAACTAATAGTGCATTCATGTTCTTTTCGCTTTAGTTCTTTAGTGCATTTGCATTTATGTTTTTATGCTTGCATAGTTTTTTATATTGCAGCTCATTTCGCTTAATGAAAGTGTTGTGTGGATGAAATTTGTACCAAAAATGTTGCCTCGTACCAGAGTTGTTGTTCAGATTTGAAGGGGGGGGGGGGTTACGTGATTAGTCCCAGTCAGGAACACATTTTTCCAATTAGTCTGACCCAAAATGAATGCCTTAAATGCCCATGCTGCAATTTGAGCAAAAGAGTAAAAGGTTTCAGGAACTATCAAAATGTAATGGCTTCCTTATTGGGCGATGCTACACCCTTCCACCAAGTTTCCTGGAAAAAGGGCCTGTAGTTGCTAACAGGCAAACCAACAGACTAAGCCCAAAGAAAACCCTGTAAAATTAGAACCAAGTGTAACAAAGGGAACATGTAGGAAGATCTCATTTTGAATCAACGGTAAATAGTATTGTCAGGTAGCAAATCAGGATACGATAAGGTACTACAATAAGATATTCATAAAAACTGGAAACATTTCAAAAAGGCTGTGTTTAAAGACGTTATTATCACTGCAAGAGTGGTCACAATTTGAGGATTTACACCTACCTCATTTCAATTAAATCACATATTAGTCTTTACAAAATGCTTTTACTGCATACATAGTAATTGGTTACAGTACATCTGATCTAAGTCATCCAAGTATTTTCCAACTTATTATTTACCACTTGATCCAGTGTTTCCCTTGCATCTTCAAAAGGTCTATTTCATGGAGATTACAGCACTCCAAACTACACAACACATTACAAGAGATGTCACTTCCAGGCTCCTGGGAATGAGTCTGCGTGGTGTGAGCAGCCTGAGCGTAGTGTATGAGGACTGTGGCGGTGTAGCTCAGTGTAAAACGCTTGGCGGTGGCCAGCTAAGAGCGGAGAGTACCAACGTAAACTCCACATACAAATAGCTACTAATGATCCAGTATTACTCACTCTGCACTCCCACAGATCAGAGTGTGTATTCTCTACAGGCACATGGCTGCATGCACACTTATATTTTTATACATACAAATATCTATGTATCCAGTACAGTGCATGCATGCAGATTAACACACACAAGCCGATGCTGATATGCTTGCTTTGTGTTGCAGGGCATAAGCCATGCACGTGCCCACTAACTCACAGTCTTACAGATGCACGCACATGCACAAATTACAAACACGCTTGCTCATGCTGTAACATCCCATTAGATGAATGCAGAATCAAAGGCTGGGATTAATCATTCTCTTTAGTACAAACTGTGAGACCACTCTCCCTCTCCCCCCACCTCTCTCTCACACACACACACACACACACACACACACACACACACACACACACACACACACACACACACACACACACACACACACACACACACACACACACACACACACACACACACACACACACACACACACACACACACACCCACACACACCACACACACACACACACACACACACACACACACACACACACACACACACACACACACACACACACACACACACACACACACACACACACACACACACACACACACACACACACACACACACACACACACACACACACACACACAACCCCCCCCCCTCTCTCTCTCTCTCAATCTGAAGCAGAATCCCATTTCACATTTCATCACTTTTTACTGGGTGATTAAAATGTTAAAGAAAAAAGGGAGAAAACGGAGACGAAGAGATACAAAAGATGCAAGAAAGAAGAGTGAGAAAGAAGGAGTTAAGAGGGGAGGAAATGGAGAGAGAAAGAGAGAAAAGAAAGGCAGGGGCCGGTGGGTATAGGATGTGGGAGAAAAAGAAGGAAGGAGAAATTCAGTGTGCTACAGTGAGCTGACAGTTTGCTGTGGTGCAGAGACGCAGAGGCTAACAAGAATCACACACATGCATGCACACACAACACAAAGTGACACACAAACATGTATGTGCCAGATTACAATCTTGCACATCCACATCCGCACAACATACAAGTACACACACACACACACACACACACACACACACACACACACACACACACACACACACACACACACACACACACACACACACACACACACACACACACACACACACACACACACACACACACACACACACACACACACACACACACACACACACACACACACACACACACACACACACACACACACAGGACTGTCACGGCATGCCCAGCACTGTGCACGATGCAAGCTTTGATCTCTGAAGCTCGCACACACTTCCAAAGCAAATGATATACAGTGAGCTTGTTACTGAGAAAACACCTCTTTTCACTCCATAACCCTCTTTCTGCATCTATATCTGTGCCTTGATCTCTCGTTCCCTGACTCTG